CCACTTAAGAGCTGTAATGTTCCAATCCAGAAGTTGTGACCCACATGAGTCCACATGAGTGCAGCAAATCTGAGGTAGTCAACCTTACAAAGGCTCAGAATCTGAACATAAAAAGATTTTGAAATGACCACTGGCTGCCGTTTTTTGTGGGTTTGGTTTTTTTGTATTTGCAGAGTAATTATTATGACAGAACACTGCTGAATCTAGTTCACACATTTATAACAATGAAAATCCTCCTAAATTCAATATACATAGAGCAATTGTGACACTTGAAACTTCCATAGTGCGATAGGGCCGGTCACTTATATCGAGGGGTCTGCATCGGTTGCTGTCGCTCCAGCAGAGATCAGATGATGAATGGCTGTTCATGGTGGTTAACGGTGGTCTAGTTACCTTGGAAGGGGTAGCAAAGACCATTCCTTAATTGTACTGTGTGTGGCTGTTTGTTTGATTTTCAAGCACAGTGTACTGGTTGTCTAGCTGAAGTTTAAGGGCCTGGTTTTTTGAAACCTCATCCCTACCTCTAGTTTTGTCTCACTACTTCAAGTAGCAAAGACCATTCCTTAATTGTACTGTGTGTGGCTGTTTGTTTGATTTTCAAGCACAGTGTACTGGTTGTCTAGCTGAAGTTTAAGGGCCTGGTTTTTTGAAACCTCATCCCTACCTCTAGTTTTGTGTCTTACTACTTCAAAGCTCTTCTCCATTTCTTTATCCCTAAGGGAAAATAAACGTAATCAGTAAATATTTCTTGAGGTTTTTTAAAAAATATTCTTCCTTGAGTTAAAAAAAAAAAAAAAAGCCACCCCTTACAGGAATCTTGAGGGAGAGACAGGAGAGGAAAATGAGTCTATAAAATCCTTATCAAACCATTTTTAAGGCTTCAATTGAACATAAAACATAAAACACTGCAACTGAAGCTCCATGGCCCCATTTCCTGTGGTAGCAAATCTACTGTAGTGTTCAGTACTGTTAACTGCAAATCTATTTTGGGACCAACTTGAAGACAACTGGAAAGTTAAAAACTCTGTGATAGCATGGTGATTCCTTCTAAGACTCACTTTTACTGTTAGCAAATAATAGACAATACAGCTCTTTCCTTATGCATAAGTAAGAGCACCAATTTCCTCACTCAGTCAAGTTCTCATTATTCAATGACTTCTCCTCACTTCTACTTCACGGGAGTGGATCAGATACGGACGAGTGTGCCGAATCAGTGCCCCTCATTTTGTAGGACAGGGCAGAGGAGCAAGTCCAAGTGGAGCTTTAAACTCAAGCCAGCTGTGGTCTCAAAGAGGCAAAACGGCTGGGATTTACTTTAAAAGTCACCCCCCAAACAATTATATCCAGCTGATATCATTTAACTTCTTCCCACTTTATTTAATTCTTAAAATTCATGGCCCTAAACAAGATGTGGATGTGCCATATGTGGTCATTTAACTCCAGGTAGCATTCATTTTAAGTACCTGCTGAAATAAGATTTTAATATTAGATTTATAAATGCCAACGTCTTCCATCTACTCACATTTACTGGGAATATAACAAAATAGTACTCTTTCATGTCCAGTCTGCATATTATAGGAACATAAGCCAGTAATAATGTACTTGTAAAGAATTGTAATTTGTGAGAATGACAGGGCAGCTTAGTCAAAGCTACAGAACATAAAACAGGGATAAGAGGAACTTCTGCAAAGTTTGTCTTTGGTGCTCCTTCCCATCTCCCGCTCCAGGGCACATAGGTCCCACCCTAAATTCTCAGCTGCCTGTCAGATGCAGCTTAGAATTTACCAGTTAAGAGCATCCCTTCCTCATGGGCTTTTATATCTCCTACATCCATCCCACTCCACACCAAGGGAAGGGTCCCAAAAACACAATATGGGAATGACTTACTTTCGGCTTTCTACATGCTTGGCAGTGGACTGCAGGGATGGGAACTGTGTGTCACTGTATATTTCTGGTGGTCCTTGTGGAGTTTTCCTTGTTGTGGTTAGCCTGGCTCCAGGAGGCCTATACACACCACTAGTCATTGCCGGTTCTGGGGTTTCTGTAACTAACATTTCGTAACAGTTTAGAGAAAATATTCAAATGCTTGGCATTTTAATAAACTAGTCCTGTAAAGGAGAACTTTAGTTTCTCCTCTGATTAGAGGGGACGCCATGGGAGGTTTACAAACAGCCTAGGACATGCTCTGCTATATCTAAAAATATCACACTTGCTGCTGTTAGACCAGATAAGAAACTATTTCATTAATTCATATAACAAAACGACAGTTCAAAGCCAGGGAGTAGCGGTGGAACTGCTGAGAACTAGTCATATAAAGAGTGAATTTATTTTGAAAGTAAGCCCAAAAGAATTTATGGATACATTAGATTTAGGTTTGGAGCAAGAAAAAGGCTTTGTCAAAGATGACTGCAAAGTTTGTGCTAAGTGACTGAAAGAACAGCACTGAGATAAGAGCTGTAGGATGCAGCATATACGTGAGCTCAGTTTTGGACATGTTGAGAGTGAGATGCTGGTAGGCAGTTAAGATAAACATGTCTGGAATTCAGCAGAGCTCTGAGTTAAGATGTGAATTTGCAGGTCACTAGCATATAGAGCAGTGGTTCTCAACCTTGGCTGCACATTAGAATCACCTGGGAATCTTTTTAAAATCCTGACTTCTGGGCCTCATCCTCCGGAAATTCTGTTTCTTTGTTACTAATGTTGTGGCCCAGAAATCAGGATTTTAAAAAGATTCCCAGGTGATTCTAATGTGCAGCCCAGGTTGAGAACCACTGATATAGAGAGACTGAACCAACCAACGAGGGGGCAGAATCCAGTGTCCTGGAAACCAACAGAAGAGCATGTTTCAATGGGGTGATCAACTGTGGCAAATGTTGCTGCTGGGACAAATCAGATGAGGACTGAGACTTGGGCAGTGGGTTTAGCAATGCAGCAAGCAGTAGGGATCACCACAGATACAGCTCAAAAAATAAAAAGTTAAATGGAGAAACACACAGAGCAAAATGCCAGAACGGATGCAAAAATACTGACATAGTAAAGTAGTCATCTGTGATCTCTGGAAGTAAGATTTGGGGTGATTTGTTTTTGTTTATATTGGTCTATATAGAATAATGGGTATAGATTAAAGCAGTGATTTCAATCAGTGTGCCACAAGAATTTTTAAAACATGAATACCTATTTAGTCAGGGACACTGACCTCTTTGACAACAACCAACCACAACAATAGCCACATGGTGTGAATGAATAAAAATTATCTTTTTTGTCAGATAGGCAAAAAATATACTTTTCAGTGTCAGAATTTTAGTGATTATTTTATGTGTGCCACGAGTTGAAAAAGGTTGAAAATCACAGTATTCAAGCATCGTTTCTCAAACTTCCTTTTCATTATTGTCCTCCTAAGGAGCGTTTTTAAACATCTTTTCCTAACCACCACTGCCTCCCTCCCCCAGAAATGTTAATACCACAAATACACACTGTACATCTGATGGGTCACAAAACACTGTAAGATCTAAGGTTTCGCCCTAGCCAAGTAGCTCAGATTGTTAGAGCATCGTTTCAATATGCCATGGTTGTAGGTTCAATCCCCCAATCAGGGCACATACAAGAATCAACTAATAAATGCAAAAATAAGTGGAACAACAAATCGATGCCTCTCTCCCTCCCTCTCTCTTAAAAAAAAAAATCAACAATAAAATTAATATAAAAACAGCTGGGCTGGCTGTGGCTCATTGGCTGAGCGTGTCTACCTATGAACCAGGAAGTCACGGTTCAATTCCTGGCTGGGGCACATGCCCAGATTGTGGGCTTGATCCACAGTGTGGGGCATGCAGGAGGCAGCTGATCCCATCAATGATGTTTCTCTCTCTCTCTCCTCCTTTCCTCTCTGAAAATAATATTAAAAAATAAAGTAATAAAAACAAAAATGAACAAAATTATCTTTAAAAATCATACAAAAATTCTAAGATTTCATTACTCCCCCCTGGGAGTGATAAAATCTGCCCCTGTGAGAATTCATGCTTCAAGTTAGTAAAATGGGGAATGGGAAAAAAAAAAAAGACAAACATAGGTGAAACACAGGTTGCCAATATTCCTTAGTCAACTGTCTAAAATTGAAATGCTTAAATATCTAAATTTGGCAAGTTAGTTTACATAAAACTTGAACGAGCCTACAGAAAAGCCTGTATCTTAACTTCCAAATTCCTGTGAATGTGAAAGTCTTTAAGCCTCCTTCCCAGGAATGGAAAGGAACCCTAATAACCCCTCCACAAACATGCATTTAGTTGAAAGCTGACCGCATATAAAATTATACAGAGACAGTTTCATAAAAATGAAATATTAAAATTACCAACTACTGGAGCAGGAGGTGCTTGTACCGGAGCTGTTTTATTCCAGGGACCTGAAGATTTTTCTATACCACCACCACCACCTCCACCTTCTTCCCAATTATCACCTGGATCTTCTCTTTTTTCACTATCATCTTCTTCCTTTTCACTATTGAAAAAGCAAGTGAATTCAATTACACCAGGAAAACTGTTAGTCTAAATTTTTAGTTCTATCAATGCTGGTTTTGTGTGGCCCTGGAGAAGTCACTTAGGCTCTACAAAGTACATTATTTGTTTAAAAGATAGAAAAATAGGGGATTTTACTTATTTACATAGTAGGTCTTCCACTTGACTTCATGCTGAAAAAAGGTTTAGAAAACCACATGGCCTGATAGTGTGCACTTCCCTTTTGCGAACTTCCTATACTCAAAAACATTTAGAAATACGTAACACACCAATATGCTAGGCCATGACAACCTGCATGATTATATACAGCAGCCCCAAGAAAGAGCAGAACGCCAGCTATTGGCTCAAGTAACGGAGGAAGGACGGGTGACTGGCTTGTCTAACCTGAAATGCAGAGAAAAGGGCAACTTGAAGGACTCAAGGTACAATTACTAGATTTTTCTAGAACCAAAGTATACAACCAGGCATTTATGGTAAGCATATTTCTAGGGGTGGAATGAATGGTTTCTGAAAGTTGTACAGTTTCACTTGCTAATCTGTTCCTACATGTTACAAAATACTCTCGAAATACAAGAGATCCTCAGTGGAACTCAGCATCCGAAGTGCCTGCATTTTTTTTTAATGCCATATAAAAATTCTTGAATTAACTTGAGTCAGAAATCTGTGATTTCTCCAAGGTTCCTTTGATTATTTCTCCTTTGGCTAGATTACTTATTTCACATAAACCTGAATGTTCCAAAAGATCAAGCACGTATCTTGCTTCTCTATACTGCCAACTTCACAGCAGGGAGATAACTGCCAAATCAACCTTCCTTTCTGCAACTCTTGCCCTTGCTGATGGTGCACCTGGCACAGACCACCAATCTTTTCCCTGAATTTTCTCCCATGCCAATGGTGGTTTTCCCTAGGTCTTCAGTTTATCAATCTCCACTATTTGGACCACTCTTTTCCCTATTAAAAAAAAATAGCTGGCCCTAGCCGGTTTGGCTCAGTGGATAGAGTGTCAGCCTATGAACTGAAGGGTCCCAGGTTCAATTGGTTGCAGGTACATCCCCAGTGGGGGATGTACAGGAGGCGGCTGATCAATGTTTCTCTCTCATCGATGTTTCTAGCTCTCTGTCCCTCTCCCTTCCTCTCTGTAAAAAATCAATAAAAAATATTAAAAAAATAATAATAATTTAAAAAACAAAACATGGCTGTTGTCTAAAGCTCTGACCCTTGGCCTCCCATCCTTTTAGATGCTTTCACCCTTTGATATCTGATCCAAGATCACGGCCCTAACAATGTACAGATGACTCCAGAGCTGACTATCTGACCTTCAAAAATCTCGGCCCCTCTTGACTTTTGTACAAGAACATCTAAGGGTGCTCTCCTTCCATTTCTTTTAAAACAAGACAAGTTCTGGCTATAAAACAATTTTCTTGTATATCTATTGCACTCCTTTAAAGACACTTATGAATTGTGCACCAACTGGAGGTGATTCTAGAACTCAGGCCTAGGCTGGCAATCAGGAAGGGGAGAAGGGAACAAACGAACTGTATCTTCAGTCTACATTTAGAGCAGGATTTTACTTAAGATATGGCCAAGTGACGCTTCAGTTTTCCTTTTCATTAACAAAAAATCCTATGAATCTATTTAAAATGTTACACCTAGCCCTGGCTGGTTTTGCTCAGTGGATAGAGCGTCAGCCTGCGAACTGAAAGGTCCCAGGTTCGATTCCAGTTAAGGGCACATGCCTGGGTTATAGGCGCGATCCCCAGTAGGGGGCATCCAGGAGGCAGTCAATCAATGATTCTCTCTCATCACTGATGTTTGTCTCTCTCTCCCTCTGCTTTTCTCTCTGAAAACAGTAAAAAATTGAAAAAAATTTAAAAAATAAAATGTTACGCCTGTACTAACAGGGAAGTAATATTAATGTTGTAACTTACTAAAATAAAACTTATACATACACTTAAAATAGAAAGACATCTAGAATGACCTTTAAAATGTTAAAAATAGCCCAGCCAGCGTGGTTCAATGGGTGTCGACCTACGAACCAGGAGGTCACAGTTTGATTCCCGGTCAGGGCACATGCCTGGGTTGCAGGCTCGATCCCCAGTGTGGGGCATGCAGCAGGCTGCCGATCAATGATTCTCTCTCATCATTGATGTTTCTGTATCTCTCTTCCTCTCTGAAATCAATAATAAATAAAAATAATAAAAAGCATATTGTTTTTCTTGTTTGGTCTGACAGAATACCGAGAGTCCCAAGTAAAAACAAATTCTTTTATGTCTAGTATTTATCACCTCTTTACCCTCCGAGAAAAGTGAAGAAATAATCACAGAATCTAAAATTACTTCTAGATGATAATCTTATTAAAAAATAAGAGTGATCTGTTTAATTAGATAGACTGCATATCTATATTGAACACAAAAAGAAAACCTAGTATTTTGGCTTCTTAAGATTCTGAAGTATTAGCTAAGCTAAACATTGGAAATTGTCAATGCTGGGGTCCAACCCCAACAGGTCCAGGGGTCCCCAAAAGTGTGGACGGAGTCGGCAAAGAAGGAATGACACGGAGACAGCGTTCAGTTGATCAGCAGCCTTGCCAGGATCCCTAGCCACAATCTCCAGCCAAGTTCTGTGTCCATGTTTTCTTGCTAGGTTCTCCAGCCATGTTCTCCAGGTTCTCAAGACAGGTTCTGTAGCCCTGTTCTCTCGCTAGGTTCTCCAGCCAGGTTCGGTCGCCAGGTTCTGTAGCCGGGTTCTGCAACCAGGTTCTGTCTAGGTTCTCCAACCAAGTTCTGTAGCCATGCTCTGTCCAGGTTTTTTCTGCTGGGGAAGGGGTTAAGAGGTTTTATTCCCTCCCTAACTTCAGGGGAAAATCCCTACCTGGGGAAACAACCTTTCTCGGAGAGGTGACCTTGGTTAAAACACAGCGCCAAGAAGGTGAGCAAACATATTAAGAACAGTATGCCATATATGCCAGGTCCCTTGAAACAGCAAGGATGGACCGGCTCCCGGCATGTCAAGACCCTTCATCCAACAGAGGGAGATGCTAAGAGTCTTGCCAAGATGCCACAGTACGAATGGCAGGGTAGAAATTATTTAAATATCCTATTTTTTTAATATTTACATATTTCAGAAAATGTCCAATCTCCAAATACCAAAGCCAGAACAAGATCCACGTTGCAAACACAATTAGGCTAAAATTCTGTGTCTGACCCACATATAACATATTATCTTCCCATCAGCTAAATCTGATGATTTTAAACACTATATTATTGTTATTTCAGTATCGCAATTCACAAAGTATACTGTCTTAAATATGCATGCCTGTAAGGCACTATTGTGGGGTAGGGGAGAATGATGGTGCTAGAAAAGGAATATTTACTGAACATCTACTATGCCAGGCAGCCTTCTACCAACTTTACAAAGTTAAATCGGAAACAACACAAAGCAGGGAGAAAACCCATTGTACATATGAGGAAACTGATACCCGACACATTTAAATACATTTTCCAGGGCTACAAAGTAGCAGAGCCAAGTCAATGGGACTCCAGAGGGCATATGCTTTCAGGTAGTCTCTTATTTCATTTTATCCTCTTTACAGTTCTGAGGTAGTGCACAGAAATTCTTTGAGATTTGAGGAATTCACTTTCTTTAATAAGGTTGTTCAGGATTATACATCCTACAGCAGTATATTTATAAAGCACAGAACGTTCTTACCTCCTTATCTCAAAGGACATTACATGAGAATCTATGTGTCCTTAACGCCCCCCTTCTCCAACACTAAGGAGAAGCAGCTAAAACAAAATCCAGACATGACCATGCTTTTGCTGGAATGCTGGGCATCTCCACTGGTTTGACACTATTATCCAGCAACTGTTACAATAGTAAAACAGGGAGACAGCAATGGCCCCAGATATGCCTGGTGGCTTAAATGTCACTGCACCTCATGCAAGGACTCTTTCTCTACCTCTTCATGGTAGACTACGTGTCTCTCTCCTGTACCCCACAGCACCCTGCATATCAGTGAAATGATCTACTGGTGTTTAGCGAGCATGAGCTATTTTTACGACCACAATGTGTGGCACACATAGTAGTCAAAAAAATTTGCTACAATAGATCTAGTTTGAATGCAGAAGCAATTTCTTCTCTTCAAAGGACAACTTAACCAGTCCTACCGAATGGGTTTAAACACTCAACATTTAGAAACCTCAAGTACTAAATGAAGTATTTCATTCTCCTAAAGATCCATTTTAAAGATGGGAAAGGCCTACAGATCCTACTATCAACCAATAATCTAAGTTCAAGTGGTAGATCCCTTCAATCATCACCTCAATGGCTTCACTCTAAAGAACTTATCTATAATGGCATGACTCTGAATAAAATCTATTTAGACAGAAAATTTGATACATGTCCTTATAATACTCTTGGTACTTAAATTTCAGGCTAGTTAGTAAATGTGAGCTAGGACATTAATACAGTCTATTTGTTGCTACTGAAATTTTCCTCTTTTCAAATGAACACTTATCTATAGCTATAATAATAAAAGTGTAATATGCTAATTAGACCAGGCTTCGAGGGAAGCCAGTGCTGGCAGCGGGGGGAAGGCCTACTCTTGCATGAATTTCGTGCATCGGGCCTCTGATTGATGTGTATGTGTATGCAAAGTGTCCCCTCAAGAGTTCAACCAGAGTTCGATTGCTTGCTATGACGTGTGCTGACCACCAGGTGGTGGCGCGGAATGAAGCAAGGCCCTGGCCAGGCCTAGGGACCCTACCAGTGCAGGCATTTCTTGCACTAGACCTCTAGTCTTCAATAAAGGTGCAACTTGCTAACCTACTATGTAGTTCAAGTACTTCAAGACTAGATCAATATCTGCAACTAACTAAAGCTGAAGCAAATACGGCAAAAACGGTTGCTAGCCCTAGCTGGTTTTGCTCAGTGGATAGAGCATTGGCTTGCGGACTGAAAAGTTACTGGTTCGGCCCTGGTCAAGGGCACATGCCCAGGTTGTGGGCTTTATCCCCAGTAGGGCGTGTGCACGAGGCACACAGTCAATGATTCTCTCTCATCATTGATGTTTCTATCTCTCCCTCTCCCTTCCTCTCTGAAATCAATAAAAATATATTTAAAAAAAAAAAAGATTGCCGAACCGGTTTGGCTCAGTGGATAGAGCTTTGGCCTGCGGACTGAAGGGTCCCAGGTTTGATTCCGGTCACGGGCATGTACCTTGGTTTCGGGCACATCCCCAGTGCGGGGCGTGCAGGAGGCAGTTGATGGATCTTTCTCTCTCATCGATGTATCTAACTCTCTATCCCTCTCCTTTCCTCTCTGAAAAAACCAATAAAAAATGTATTTAAAAAAAAAAAAAAGATTGACAGATGTAAGCAGAGTGTAAGGGTACTTTTTTTTTTACTATTCCTGCAACTTTTTTGAAGTTTGTAATTTCCCAAAGCAAAGAGTTGAAAGAAAAAAAGACTATAAGCTATAAACTTCAAGATATATATTTAATTGATCTCAGAGGAAGGGAGAGAGAAACAGGGATCTATTGCCTTGCACATGGGTTCAACTGGGGATCAAATCCGCCATCGTTTGGTGTACGGGATGATCTCTGACCAACTCAGCTACACAGACCAGGGCAAATTTCAAGATATTTTCAGTCAAATTCCAATGTTTCATTTTCCTTGTCCCATATTGAGATGGCAAGGCTGCCTCTCTCATACATTAAAAAGATAACACTGAACACTCAGAGGGATTTTTGTCTGCATGCTTATACTAAAGCCAACCCGAACATGTCACTTTCTCCTATTATGTCCAGTGAACTAACGAGTCTGACATGATTAGTCATGATAACCTTATGTGACTAAACTACTCCTTCTCCTCTAATTTGAGTTTTATAAATCAGGTGCCTTGTGGTTAAACAGCAGAGAAATTCCCAAGAGTAAGTCATTCTATTTACCCACTTATCTTGATTAATATTAATCAAGTGGGTATTTTACAAACATCCTGTTCAAAGTCCTCAGAGCACGCTTGAGTAGTCGTCCCAGTCTTGCAGGTAAGAACCAACATTCAAAAATAGCCCTGGCCAGTTTGGCTCAGTGGATAAAGCGTCAGCCTGCAGACCAAAGAGTCCCAAGTTTGATTCTGGTCAAGGGCATGTACCTTGGTTGCAGGCTCCTCCCCAGCCTGGGCCCTGGTCGGGGCGGGTGCAGGAGCAACCGGAGGCAACCAATCGATGTGTTTCTCTCACATCGATGTTTCCCTCAGTTTTTCCCTCTCTCTTCCACTCTTCCTGAAAATCAATGAAAAAAATATTCTCGGGTGAGGATTAACAAAAAAAGTAAATAGTGACTTGCCCAAGGTCACACACAGCAGGAGTAAAATGCAAACTCAGGTTTGTCTTTCTCTTGAAGTCCATCTTTTTGCCGTATTATCAACTCCATCCCATTGATGGAACGTATCTTTCCTTGGGGACCCTATCGAGTTCCATGGTCAAGAACATTTAATTTGCAGTTTATAAGGGTATTGAATATAAAGTGAAAGACTTAGTCCCTGTTATTAAACTTCAGATGGCTTCTCACTCTCAAGCCTTCCCCAGGAGCTGCACATTTCCCTTTATTGAATGATTTATAAAAATGCAAATACAGACCCCAGACTCCATAGTGACTGAGGATCCACAAAAGCAGCTTCTTGAAGCAGATAGTTTTTTCAATGTTAATAGGTTAGAGGAAGACCTCTGGATGGCCACTTAGAGGCAGTGACCAGATGGTAAGAATAATGAAAAACACACAATATCAAAGCTGGTCTACTTCAGGTTAAGTAGAACTTAAACGCTCATCCTAGCTGAGATTTACTTATGCCCCCGGCAAAGGTGAAGGATGTAAGTACAGTGGAACCTCAGTTCTAGAACCTAATTTGTTCTGGCTGTTCAAGAAGCGATTTGTTAGAAAACCCAAATAATTTTTTCTCCCATTAAAAATAATGTAAATTGAATTAATCCATTCCAGACCCTCAAATGATTCCTTTTTAACCTTTCTTATGTACAGTACCTATCTAAGCTCAAGTATTGTTCTCACAACTTTCCTTTTCACTTTGCTGCTATCACTAACCTTCTTAGAACTTATGGAGACTTATTTTATGTATTGAATAATCGCCATGAAAGGTCTGTCCCCTTGAGAACTGAAGCCTGAAATTTTGTTCAACAACTGAGGTTTGATTGTAATTTAAGGAATGTTTCACCATCTTGGGAGTAGCCGAAATGAAGACTAAAATAGCCTTGAATATGGATATGGGATATATACTCAATGACAAAAATAGGTGCCGTTTAAAATCCTCCATAATATAACAAAGTCAATGTCTAACATTAACTTGAAACATTTTTCCCTCTAAAATTGCTACTCTTACTAAAGTTCAACACCAGCAAACACTATGCCTCCAGTCATTCAAGTCTCCTCCAAGAATATGCTGTCGGAAGAGGCAGACCAAGAGCCTTTTCCACATCAAAACAGGAACCCCACACACAGGCAGTTCCACACACCCAAACGGCTAAGGGAGAAAACTCCAGTCTAATCACTGCTACTTCACACCAAGACAGAACAACCAAGAGTGGAGAAGCTGCAGTTCCTCAAAGTTCCCGTCACCAATCAGGTTTCACTTTGGTTAAGCTCAGGAAATGATGTGAAAGAAGCTAGGACATCAATACCTAACTGTGGTAGATATTCAACACATGTCAAAATTAGCCCTGGTTTTTGAATGAGTTAACGCCATAAATATTACCATCTAGAGAGGTGAAAAGACATTATTTCTTTAAGGAAAATTATTTTCTCCACTGTGCCACGTGGTCACTGGCATCAGTAATTGCAAACTTCAAACTGTGATTAAAGGGTTTTAAATCTTAAAACCAATGGAAGCCTATATTCACTTGTTTTTCCTACATTTATTTACATGAATCTAAAAATAACCACACAGGTTGGACTTAAAAAAAAACCACATCTATTTTTTATTGATATCTGAGAGGAAGGAAGAGGGGAAGATAGAAACATCAGTGATGAGAGAAAACCACTGACCGGTTGCCTCCTGCATGCACCCCCCACTGGAGAATGCATCTGCAACCTGGGCATGTGCCCTGACCTGGCATCGATCTGTGACCTCCTGGTTCACAGGTCAACACTTAATCACTGAGCCACTCTGGCCAAGCCATAAAATATTTCTTAGTTTCAAATCTCCTAAAATTCAACCAATCCAATTTTTAAAAATTACTGTTTTCTTGCCCTGGCCAGTGTTTCTCAATGGTTAAAACATCGGCCCAAGGCGTTCTATTCCCAGTCAACCTGGTTTGCAGGTTCTCTTCATGGCCAGGTAGGGATACGAGAGGGAAGCAACTAATTGTCTAACATCGGTGTTTTGAACATTTCTCTCTCTGTCTCTCTTGCTCCCTTCCACTCTCTCTAAAATTCAATGGGAAAAAATTCCTCTGGTGAGGATTAAAAAATAAATAAATTACTGTTTTCTTAAACTGTAAAAATAACATGTTTGATTCTGTTCCTAGGAAATTCTAGGGAAAGTTCATCTATAGCATTAGGAGTGGTTATCCTTGCGGGGTGAAGGCACTGGCTACAAAGGGTTAGGAGGGGGGCTTCCTAATGTTCAGTTTCTTGACTCTGGTGCTGATTACACAGGTTGGTTCCACTGTGTGAATATAAAAACCCTTTACTTCCCTGTAAGAATGCTTCAATTACAAAAATACACATTCACCTGCTTATTGGAAAGGACCTGAAAACCATTTTTTTAAAAAATATATATATTTTTAAACATATATTTTATTGATTTTTTACAGATTGGAAGAGAGAAGGAGAGGGATAGAGAGTTAGAAACATTGATGAGAAATATCCATTCAGCTGCTTCCTGCACACTCCCTACTGGTGGTGTGCCTGCAACCAAGACACATGCCCTTAACCGGAATTGAACCCGGGACCCTTCAGTCCGCAGGCCAATGCTCTAGCCACTGAGCCAAACCGGTCAGGGCAATCCATGTTATTTTCGAAACACAAAGAAAAACTAAGTTCAACCCACCACTATTAAAAGAAATACTTTGAAGAAAAAAAAAAAGTAAATACTTTGAAACCATAAAATCAACTTTAGCTGTCTCAAATAAAAAATAAAAATAAATAAACCTAACCAGGGCTGGAAGTAAGGCAAGCTCTCTCAGGATTTTGGAGCTGGCAGCTATTCCGATCAACATACAGAATGACTGCCATCACAGAGAGAAGGAATAGACACCATCTATTAGAGCCCTAATTAGCATATCTAAAGCGCAAGGCTACTAGGATGCTGTTTGGGGGCTGAAAGAAAAACCAGACATACACCCCCTTATCCTAAGGGTGACCTGAACATATCTGTAACAAGGCCATACCTTATTTGCATTGCCTGAACTCTGAGGCCGCTGTAATCCACCTCTTTCTGCTCAAATTCTTTCCACTCATCTTCATCCTGTAAAGCACATAACATTCGATCAATTAAAGCTATTCGTCAAAGGACCACTAAGGCAAAGATCGGACTATGAAAAGTGGATCACGTGGCTGGACCCTAAAAGCATGGGCTCATTTTTCTGGCCACAGCCCTTGCTGGATCCCGAGGTCGACTAGGGCTGGAGGACGAACGTGCCCTTTCAACACTGTTACTTCCACCCGGTTCCTTTTACGCGAGCTGTTAATTGAAAACCGACCAGGAAAAGCCGAATGCAAAAGTCAACAGCGAGCCCACAACTTATGTCTCCCTCCAGGTCGGCGTGTGATTCTCTCTCTCTTTCACCGGCTTAGAGACCAAGTCATGCCAACGAGAGTTGCTACCCGTGCGATCGTCAGAACATTCAGCTCCGACGACGGGGCAGAAGCCCGAGCCCTAAATGGCACGAGGGGACGTCACTGGACACATGCTGCTCTGTGCCGGGCGCCTCGGACCCAGACCCACAGCCACGGGAGGGAGGGTGCTGCTGCCTCGGCC